TATCTAAAATAAATATTATTATATTACATTTTAAAAGATAACAATTACATTTACATTATATTAAGCAAACGTAAGACAGTAATGGTTGTATGTTACTGTTTACATGGAAGATTTTTAAGCAACGTCAAACAGTGTATATAGGAAAAAAAAGCGAAAATTCGCACTGCATTTCATGTCGTCATTCATGACTTGTTGAGAGACTAAGTGTTGAAGTATGAATATGGGAAGCAAATGGTATAAATCAATGGCATAATTTTTTAAAAATATAGGCATTTAAGAATATTTGTGGAGATTTCGGTATTTATCACAAATTATCAAATTATAAACAAATCGAGAAAAGAATAAATTTAGGTAAAAAAACACACATAACGGTATCACGATGGCAAACTTATGGAAAAACACAAATTATATAATATTATTATAGAAAACGCTTGTAAATTTTTATATTACAAATTTAAAACCATAGAAAGGGAAAATCTGTTTGAAGAATTCATTTTTTTTTGATATTTAAAAAAAATTTAATATCTTATTTAATATTTTAACATAGTTCACAAAAAAATGATTGGTTTAAGAATATGTATTTCAAAAATGGCCATTTTCTGAAAGATCTTAGATGAATAATGAAAAGAGATGAAAAAATTTTATAAATTTTGATATTTTCCATAAATAAATAAAATTTATATATATTTTAAATTTTACTGTCCATTAGGAAAAGGGATCTTCCCATTTTTATCAGATATTCGGAAATTAATTTTAAATTAAGACAACAAAGAAATCATAATGTTTTTAAATAATAAAAAAAAATTTTCGATTTTTGTCAAAATTTGACAGTCTTATAAAAATAATATAATTATAGCATTGATTGATTAATCATACTAAAAAAAAATAAAAACACAGACAATTGACCACAAATAAACAGAAAGACACATGATTTGCTGCCAAAAAAAAATTCCTAATATTGTTTTGTTGAAGACTTCCAAAAAAAAAAGAAATGTGTGTTAGAATGAATGAAATTTTAAAGTATTAAATATCTTAACATATGTAAATAAAATTCAACACAGAAAACTAATCCCGGAAAATTTTATGTTTAATCTTATTTGTCAGCAAGAAGTAATATATTTAATTTTCCTTTGATGATTGGATTGAAAAAAGCTGCTATTTTTTTCAAAATCAATACAATCCATGAAAAAAAACACAATGTGTCGGAGAAACATGAATATGAGACCATGTCAACGACAAATCAATACTGACCACATAAGAATTTAGCCAAAGGGAAAATGAGATGTAATATATATATATATTTAAAGTCATTTGTACATATACATGATTTTTTTTATAGATACAAATATTTAGTAAATGGTCTTTAGAAGATAAAAAAGTTAACATAAATAAAAAAATGTCTTAAAATAAATTGATGGATTGTTTTTTCCATTCAAAAAAAAATTGGATTACTAACAAAAAAACAGAAAATGTCTCATATCGAGAATTTAACATTGAAAAAAATAATAAAAAAATTAATTATCTTTAATAATATATGGAATAATCATCCAATTTTACCTGAAGACGCTCACGGAGACCATTGAAACACCTGTAGTAAAATTATAAAAAAAAAAGCATAAATTTTTTTCTAAATAAATCCTCCACATTACAAAAAAAACGTTTTATGGCACCTCTCTTCTCTTTCTTTTTTAATATACATACTTTTCTCTCGTTGGAACCACTACAAGATTTTTTTATATATATATATATATATATATATATATATATATATATATATATATATATATTTATTATTTATTATATAGGAATAATACTTTAAATTTTGTAGGAATATATAGCAAATATTAGAAATAATAAATATTTATATCTATATTCCCATTTAAAAAAAAAAATTGTATGAAATTAAAAATAAAAAGAGCCAAAAAAATCCCAAAGTTTTTTTCGTCATTGAAAGAATAAAAATTTCAGACTGCAGAAAAAAAACGGATGTCATCATTCGTTGAACAAACATTCTAAATTTAATTAACTTAATTTTGATAGTAGCTTTATGTTTTGATACATAAGTTGTCTATGGAATCGAATTTATTCCCCTTATCAAAATCATTGAATTTTCGTAAGTCTATAAAACAACTAAATAATATCAAATCAATAGTTTATTTTTTAATAAATTCAATAAATTTTTAAATAAGTTATTAAAAAATCGTTTGAAGAAAGGAAACAGAACTAGAGATTTTAATTTAATTCTATAATTAAATTTAAAGTTTTCTTTCTATTTTTTGTAAAACATGTTTAATTCCCATTGTAATGATTATTTTTATTTTCAAATTTAAATTTATAAAGTTTTTGCAAATGTAAAATTCATATTGATTTTTATTACTTTTAAAATTAAAAAAAAAAACCTTATTATAAATTTCACTGTTATTCATTTTGGTCATTATATATTATATATATATATATTTTATGTGTGTGTGTGTGTGTGTGTGTGTGTGAATGTGTGTGTGTTTAGGATAACATATTTTTTTTTGATACATTTTTAATTAAATAATATATTTTGTTTTTATTCATTTTATATGTAAATTTTTTACCTATCGTCTAATTTTTTAATAACATTATCATTAAACAAAGGAAGTTTTTCACAATTTGATATCATATTTTTTAATCCTATTAAGCTTTCTTAAACATTTTTATTTATCAAATTTTTTTCTTTTTTTGCAATATATTAAGCAATACAAATAATAAGACAGTTGATGGTTTTCATGTTTCTTGCGAAACATGGAAAATTTTCAAGCAAATTCAAATTCTTTGAACATAATTCAGCGAAAATATATATTTCTTTCTAAATATCTACAACATAACCATATCTAAATTCAATTTTGAATTTTAAAAGAAGAAAAATCCATTGGAAATAAGATCAATGAATTCTATTATTTTTTATAGACATTTAAGAATATTTTTGGATTTTGATTTAGGAAATTTTGATCCATCTTTTTTTATTTCTTAGCTGTTTTATGTATATAGCTTCAGAAAATTTTGCATTAATTTTTTGATCATTGTTTTAATTTTAAATATAAGCCAAATTTTTCTAACGAAGATTTTCAAGAATTATGTATCAATTTATGAATATTGTTTTAAATGCCCAAAAGATTTTCTTTTATCTTTTCATAATCTTTTTTTCATCTTTTTTTATTTTATTTTCTTTCTTTATTTTTTTTTCTTTTAGGGTTTTTTTTTTTTCTTTTTTTTTTTTTCTTCAAAATTTATTTGAAATTCCATTCTTTTTCTTTTTAAACTTTCTTTTACTTTTTTTTCTTTTCTTTCTTAATTCCTTATTTCTTTTCTTCCTTTTTTTTTTCTTTTTTTTTCTTCTATATTTCATTCTTTCTTTTTTTTCTTTCTTTTATTTTTTTCTTTTTTTATTTTTTTTTTTTTTCTTTCTTTTTTTATTGTTTTTTTTTCTTTCTTTTATTTTTTTTTTTTTTTCATAATTTTTCTTTTAATTTTTTTTTTTTATTCCACTTTATTTTTTTTTTCAGAACCTAGGATATTTTTTTTTAAAAATTATTTTTTGCTTTTTCTTATATATATTTTTTTTTTTCATTGACTTTTTCTTTCTTTCTTTCTTTTCTTTTTTTTCTTTTAAATTTATTCCTTTCTTTCTTTTTTTTTTCTTCCTTTCATTTTTTTTGGGGGAAAAAATTGAATAAAATTTATTTTTTTTAGGAAAGTTATTCTTTTTTTTTTCACATTTTTTTTTTTTGAAATTATTTTTTTTTAAATTTCTTTCTTTATTTGTTTTTCTTTCTTTTTTTTTTTTTTTCTTTTTTTTTTTCTTTTTTTTTTTTTCTTTCTTTCTTTCAAAATTTTTTTTTTTTTTTACTTTGTTTTTTTTTCTTTTTTTTTCTTTTCTTTTAAATTTTTTCTTTCTTTCTTTTTAATTTTTTTTCTTTCATTTCTTCCTTTTTTTTTTTTTTTTGATTTTTTCGTTTTCTTTTTCTTTCTTTTTTGATTTCTTTTTTTTTTTTTTTCTTTCTTTTTTTTTTGTTCTTTATTTTCTTTCTTTCTTTTTTTTTTTTTTTTTTACTTTGTTCTTTCTTTTTTCTTTCTTCCTTTCATTCTTTTTTCTTTCTTTCTTTCTTTTTTCTTTCTTTCTTTTTTTTTTTCTTTCTTTTTTTTTCTTCCTTTCTTTTTTTTCTTTCTTTCTTGCTTTTTTCTTTCTTTCGTTACTTTGTTCTTTCTTTCTTTCTTTTTTCTTTCTTTCTTTTCTTTGTTCTTTCTTTCTTTTTTTTCTTTCTTTCTTTTCTTTGTTCTTTCTTTCTTTTTTTTCTTTCGTTCTTTCTTTCTTTCTTTCTTTCTTTCTTTCTTTCTTTCTATATATTTCAGCCAGTTTATCTATATCTCAGTGTTGCCCGGCTCTCTGGTTCTTATCGTCTGCATTCCACTCCAGATTTATTTCTCTTTTTTCAATTTGTTTATTTGCGTATATTTTCGCGTTCCTAACAAAAGATTCTTTAATAAAGACTTGGACGCAGATGCTGCAGCAGTTTTATTGTTAAAATTCGAACATAATATTGGAAAACTACAATCGCTCTTTTCATTCTTAATTTTCTTGGAATCCCTTCAGATATCGTCCCAACCTCATTTATTTACTGGTTATAATGAGAATCGAAATATTTCAAAATCTCATTCATACAAGAGAAGGATTTTTACATCTAGTTATTTGAGGAAAATATTTTCAGCCATGATTGCCAAAACATTTCATTCATTGAAATTCATGGCATCATTATTCAGTCAAAAGCATATTTTCGCGGGCTTTCGGTATTCTTCTCTTATATCTCAGCACTCTTGTGTATTAAATTGGCGCAAAATGTTCCAGCATGCATATGAAAAAAATCTTACATACATATAAATTCATAGCATCATTATTCAGTCATCAAGGTATTTTCTTTGGCTTTTTATGAACATTGTATTAGTTTCCATGGCTTTCTATGGCCTTACGCCTTATGTTATTATCTATTGCAGTTTTTTCATATCTATCTATCTATCTATCTATCTATCTATCTATCTATCTATCTATCGCTCCACGCTTATTCTGGTGCTCTGTGTTGATCAAAGAAGATTCTTTCCTATTCTATCTTTGATCATTTCCAAAAATTTACTCCCCACGTTATAAGCTGGTGTACAACATCTACAAATTTGGACATTTTCATTTTTGACTATCGCGTTCAGCCTCTTGATTTGTTTCGTTAAATTTGAATGTTATAAGATCTTCTACTGGAGAAAAGAAATTATATTTTTATTACGTTTATATGGACTGCATTTGGTGTACTTCATATCTATCTATCTATCTATCTATCTATCTAGTCTGTTCCTGTCTCTATCTATATATATATATATATATATATATATATATATATATATATATATATATATATATATATATATATATATATCCATTTGTTCATATCTAGCTATCCCAGCCTGTTCACAATTATCTATCTATCATCTATCTATCTATCTAATGATCTATCTATCTAATCTGGTCACCAAAGATGTCTAAAAGTAGATTTGAGAAGAAATATTTGTGTTTGTTCAAGAGTGTTGGACACAAGATTTAGATTGTCTCCAAAATCTGTGATGCTGATTTCAGTTTATAGACTAAATCTTGTTTTTGTTTTATGATAAACCCAATGATTTTGTCATCTTTAGTGGCAAGTTTCATTGCGCTGTCAAGGGCAATGATGAATAGAAAGTGGGACAAATGTGTCTCCCTGTAAAATTCCAGTTGTCATTTCAGATATTCCGTATTTCCATCTGCGGATAGGACTTGTGCTACTGCATCTTACTAAAGCAGGTTGAGAGCCGATACGATTTTATTTGCTATGCCATAAGCCTTAAAGTAGTTCATTCGTGTTTTTTTCTGGTGTGTATGGAATCGAAAGCATTGAATGGCATAAGGTGTTCCTTCTGCTGACTTAGAAGACATGGATTCAGTCATGTGGAATGCTTTATCTATCGTAATATGGAAGAACATTGTGAAAAACAAGAATTGTTCCAGTGCCTATTGTAATATTCCATCGAACTATATACTCAAATGTTGATGCACTGTGTTTTGACAATATTCCAAGTTGCGGAGAACAGACATATGTGAGGTGGAGGCGGGCAGCTGGCAATTACTATTCAAGATTTTTAATGCAGTAATTCGGGATTTCTTTTTAATCTTTCACTTCTAGATGAGAGTTTTAAGAGTCTATACCATTGCAATTCTAAAGTTAATCTTCATTGATTCATACTTTCTTTCTTTGTTTGTTTCTTCCTTTACTACTGTTTTCACTTCTTGTTTACCCCCACACTTTTCTTTTGCCGACTGTGCACTTCTTCTTCTTCTTCTCCTTCTTCTTCTTCTGTTTTTATCGCTCTTTCTCCTCCTTGTTGTTCTTTCTCTCTTTCTTCTTCATTTCCCCCTCCTCTTTTTTCCGTTCTTCTTCTTCATCACCTTCTTATTTTTATCTTTCTTCTTTTCTTTCTTCCTTCATCTTTCTCCTCCTCCTCTCCTTTATCTCTTCATCTTTCTTCTTTTTCCTTAATTCCACATCCCCTTCTTCTTCTTCTTCTTCTTCTTCTTCTTCCCCTTTTGCTCCTCCTCTAAATTGTTCTTCTTAAGTCCTTTTTCCGTTTTATTTTCCCCCCCTCTTCGTCTTCTGTTCCATCAAGTACTTTTCATCCTTTTTTTTTCTTCCTTCTTCTTCTTCTTCTTCTTCTTCCCTGTTTGCTCCTCCCTAAACTGTTCTTCTTAAGTCCCTTTCCGTTTTTTTTTTTCCCCCCCTCTTCGTCTTCTGTTTCATCAAGTACTTTTCATCCTTTATTTTTCACTTCCTTCTTCTTCTTCTTCTTCTTCTTCTTCTTCCCTGTTTGCTCCTCCACTAAACTGTTCTTCTTAAGTCCCTTTCCGTTTTTATTTTCACCCCCCCTCTTCGTCTTCTGTTTCATCAAGTACTTTTCATCCTTTATTTTTCACTTCCTTCTTCTTCTTCTTCTTCTTCTTCTTATTCTTCTTCCCTGTTTGCTCCTCCACTAAACTGTTCTTCTTAAGTCCCTTTCCGTTTATATTTTCACCCCCCCCCCTCTTCGTCTTCTGTTTCATCAAGTACTTTTCATCCTTTATTTTTCACTTCCTTCTTCTTCTTCTTCTTCTTCTATGAAAGTCATTTATCAGAGATAGGCCTACTCCAGATACATTGGGAGGAATTGGGCACCGCGAGGCGGTGTAATGGTTAGCAAGCTTGTCTCGCTAGAACAATTACAACCTAGTATTGAGGTGCCCCATCATTTCGGCCTTGTGTCACATTTAAGCTACGCTTCGAAAATCACTACACGGGGAGGAATGGGCGATTACCCCACTGTGCTGGTCCAATGCGTATAGGTCAAGGCGGACGTGACACGCTTGGACGTTCATGCCTCTTTTCGATTGCTGATCGCTCAATGGTATTTGCGATTCAGCAA